GTTATTATTCTGGTGGTGAACCTAGAAAATAAATAAATAAAAAAAAATAATAGATTTGATTTTATTGTGACGATTTTTGTAAAAACTATGGTAGACAAACATTTTTGACCAAAGCTTGTGTACCTAGTCGTCATAGTGCTACAAAAAATGTATGTTACATATAATAATTTATTTTTTGCCCAGCTGTGGAGCTATGTATGGTCTAGAATACAAAAGATAAAACCAAAAAATACTTAACCACAATGCAGGATTTAAAATCACCCACTAGCTTGCTTGACCTACGCTCTAGTTATTGAGAAAATAATATCTTGAGTGGAATTACCAATCATATTGCATGGGCAAGTCAAGTCCATCTGTTTAAGTTCATATAGTCATTATACTAGCTTTTGCCTGTGATTTCGTCCACATAGATTAAAGTATTTATATTGATAAAATCCATTTGTTACTGCTAAATGTGCATTGGAAATAAAGTATCCAATTTTATTTTATTTATGGTTCTATATATAGTGTTAATATCCTCTTAATATTAACTTAATATTCTCTTAATCACAATTCTTCATTTAGCATCCTGTACTTTATTTATTTAACAATGAAGGTGTATTTATTTAACAATGATATAAAAGTAAGCATAACTTTTAGATGCTACATAATACTTTGTGATAAATTTTACAGATTCATTTTTGAATAATTCCCAAATCGTATATCCAAAACTTAAATGGTACTTGTTACAAAACTGACTACTGAATGAATCAAATGAAATGAAAACTGTTTATTTTTCAATGTAAAAGATTAGATTTGTTAGTCAAATTTCTACATGTTTTTTAACTACTACTATCTCAAAATGAGGATCCTCTGTCAAAAGAAAGAACCAGCAAATGAAACTGCAGTTATCTTTACTGTCATTTTAACAGCAAATGCTATAACATTGTTAATTATAATTAAAAAAGAATAGACCCATTGGTAATCAAAAATTTTTTTATGAAAACATCACAACAAAACAAAAAAATATGCATAATTAAAATATTATTAAAAATTAATTATAAACCATCTATGCCCCAGAATTAGTTTTATATACTGTGCATTAACATTAAATCACAAAACAAATCCACAATGTTTACTGCATAATCATTTGACCCTCATAGGTCAGCGTTGACAATCTTTACAGTATCCATAGCTACTGAATTTAAATCAACCAGGCTATTATATGGTAATTCTAAAAGTTACTTGCTCTATTACAACTTTTAAGAAACTCTAAGTAAACATTGTTACCACACGACATTTTATATTTGATAGATTTAAAATTGGAAACTGATGTAATTATAATATTTTGTTTGTACCAAAATTGTAACTCACAAAATTGTCCAAAATTCCTACAAACTCCAACAAATTTATCATATATTCTTGCTGTTTCTGATTGATATTGTAATATTTATATTACAATATCAATCAATATTTATATTACAATATCAATCAGTTGTATGCTGTAGTTTTTATTGCAACTAACTTGTATTTGGCTTTGCTTTTTACAATTTTTTTACATTAATATCTTGGAATAATATTTCCCAAACAATTTATTTTTTAATATAATGATATTTGCCATTTCATTGCAGTTATTTATATAATATAAATTGTATTAAGCTCTTTGCACTTGTTGGCAAAAAAAAAAATTACAGTCCATTACTTGCCTCCTGCTGAACACAGAGAGTGTAATGAGGCATCAACATCCATTATTCTTATCAGCATCCATTATCATATCTTTGTGCATGTTACCAAGTCGTCACCTCATCGAATGAGGGCCGCCTTACACTTGGCTTAAAGGTATGAGGCTGCCACTGAAAAACCTCTTGTCCCCATCAGTTGTCAACAATTCAAGTTATATGGCTCGGCTAATATTAGGTACTTCAACTTACTTATTCTTTGGGCTATGTCAGTTTCTCTAATTCAAATGCAAAGGTCTATTACGCAGAGAAAATCCAAGCATAGTTCTCTCCATAGCTCGCTGAATGACCTTCAGTGTCTTTATATGGCCAGCAGTAGGTCTCAGATCCATACATCATCACAACGGCAACACACACTGGTTGTACACTATTGTTTCCAATTTTTGAGGTTATGTGAAGAGATGTATCGTTATCTTCTGAACGCTGCCCAGCCAGGTTGAATTTATCTATTTACCCTCTCGGTCAACGTTGTCATATTTCGATGAGAAGGTGGAGGAGATGATGAGGAATTGAGAATATATCTGGAGCCATTCATTCCTCCACATAGTGGGATTTGCAGGAAACTTAAAACAAACTAGCATGAAATGATGATGAGCTATGAAGGTAAAAGAATTTGAAATAGGGCATTGGAACCTTTTAGGTCAACAGTTAGCCTACTTCATGGAGGAGATACTATTTTTCTTCCAGAAGCTACTTTATAAAAAGTAGACCTGGTCTGGCCCCAATTGAGGAAATATGAGATTAACTTTATGCTGACGACCAAACTGCAGAGATTCAGTGATGTTGCAGTGATTGCAAGACGAAAACTGATAGTGAGAGGCACACTGAATCTTAACCTTATATTAGTTACTAGATTTCAAATAATAATAGAGTTCAAATCAATGTTCCTTTCCCCTTGACCCAATCCAAAGTCCTGAAAATTTTCAACTCCAATTATGAAATTGGTTTTAGTGCCTAGAAGATTGCAATACAGTTACAATATAAATGACAAGCTTGTGGAAATTGTCCATTCGGTCGAGACTAAGTTCTGCAAGTCCCGTCGCAAGAGAACAAGAACTCACCAATCACACTTAATCTCATGGCTGTGAGGGGGAAAATCAAGCTGCAGTCTTTAGTAATTATGACAGCATTCAAACAACTGAACAGTTGGATATCCAAATGCATGTGGCAAGACTTAGCAACTTAAATACAGCTCAGATTAAATAAAGGCGTTTATGCTGATTCAAGTCTTAAAAAGTCCTTCCCAGAAGTCTGTATGTCTACAATAGCTGACTGTCAAACTTGAAGACTAACTTTGGCACTGACATCTCCAGGACACCTGATATTTTGGATGAGATTTAGAGGTACTTATTCCAACAATATTCTGGACGTCAGTTTAAGAGAAATTAGAATGGCTCTCCAGCACCTTAGAATGGCAAGACCAAAGATTCAAGAAGTTTATTAAATATTAATTGCGCCCTCCATGGTACCACTATGGTTGTGTTATTGAAGAAAGGCAGCAACACTATTGAAGAACCACAGACCGATTGATGTGCTGTTTTCGAGAGTCATTCTGAATCGTCTTGCATGACTAAGCCTCTGGAACAAGCTGTAAAGCTTTATTACCATAGACCAACCACATATATACTCTTTGAGAAATTGTACAGAAAACTAAAGAGTGCAATCATCCACTTTGTCTTCCAGTTTTGAAATTCCATAAGAGAAAGTCTATGATTGCGTCGAAATTTGGGCGGTACTAGTCTCTCAGCATTGCAAAGTCGTCTGATGTTATAAGACAACAATCATGTGTAATATTCATATCACACCTATGCCAGTAGAAATTGCGAACTGAAAGATGGAAAAGAAAGGAAAGGAGGCTGAAAGTTGTTAATGAGGATGTTTACCTAGGACAAATTATCAGTCTAGGAAAGTCCAACTGCCCGATAGGTATATCGGCGGTCTGCACGGCTTGTCACATATACCTCACAAATTAAAAAGAAATGTGTACAAACTGCGTGTTGCCAGATCTAAGACTTTGCTGGTCATATAGACACTCAAGGTCATTCATAAATGTTTACCTAGGCCAAGTTGCCAAACTAAATAAATCAAACTTTGAGGAAGACAATTCCTATTCATTAGGCAAATAATAATGTAAATAAGTTGTATGCATTTGATAAAATTTTGTCATGTCTGTCCTACAGTTTATGCAACTCTGCTTACCAGTTATTGTTAAATATAGTTAGCATAAGTTTCGAGTGCACACCTTGATGGGTCTAGATAGTGCATATTTATATTTTTAACCAGTCATATGGTTACATATTTCAAACTTGTATAGTTGCTTGCACTATACATTGAATGCTGTCAATAGGTAGGAACAATAAGCCATTCATACTGCAAGCTTAGTGCAGCCACTTTACCTTTTAGATTTAAAAATGCTTACTCCCCATGTAAAGGTCAAAATTTATAATTCATGCTGCTTGCTATATTATTATGACACTAGTTCTCCAGACATTGTTATGCATTTTCGCAGATGGTGCAATGAGTTTCAAGATGATTTTTTTAGAGTGTAAATATAAAATTTATTAATAACTTGACCTTGGTACAGAATTTGTTGTTTTCTTTTATGAACCAGACAAAGATAATATATCGTGAATATTAGACAGTTTAATTAATAATTAACCAAAAACTTGACTTCAGCACCACTTATATGAGAAACGATAGCAAACCATCCAAAATAAATATATTGTGCCAATGTGACCTCAATTGGTCAAATTCTAAAAAAGTTACATGATCACTAACAGACCAAAAGAATTATATTTATAAATACTGGGATTAAACATAACATAGAACTAGAATAATATTTATTTTGCAGTAAATTATTTATAATTTATTAAACATATTTAATTGATTTATAAATTAAACACTAATGCAATAACATCACACAATCATGCAGTAATTGTCAATAATTTGGTTATCATAATTATTTGCATGTATTTTGCATAAAGTTCTTTTTTCACACTAATTTGCAAAAAAAGACCAACCAGTAGTAATTATCAGTAGTATACTTATATATATATATATAGTTAAGAATTATTTGGCATGTATTTTGCATAGTTTTTTTTTTCATCACCCATTCACACTAATTTCATTTATTATTCATATACAGGTTATACTGCCCATGCGATAGTAGATTCACAGTTTAATACCTGTAAGTAACATTACCACTCCACCTTAAAAAAAACAATTCAACTTAATTTCAGTTAAAAATTAAAAATAAATTGCTTGCAGAAACTATATGTTATAATGGAACCATCATGTTCACATTCCAATTGTGATCTTTTTGAGAGAGCTAATAGAGTCTCATTTGAAAGAGCAGAGAATAAGACTGATAACAATACTAATATGGAAAAGCCAAGCACTCAATGTAACAGGCAAAGAATTGATGACATTGAGCGGGAGGACTTTGAAGAAGAGAATAGAATAATTAAGCACTGTTCAAGCTTGATGGTCGAAGGAGAAATTGCTGCTTCATCACATTACTCTGGCAACCTATCTAGCACCAACTCAAGCTTAGCATCAAGCTCTGAAACTATCTCAACCCTGTCCAATGTGATGGCAAATGATTTTAGCTTGCCCGGTTGCAGTAAGAGTGACGACTGTGATAGCAGCAACGCAATCATTAAAAATATGATCAATAACCGTAAACCCATGTACTCTGTGATTGAGGAACCCAAAAAGATAGACTTCATGCAGAAACTATTAAGCAGCGGAGTGCCAGAAAAAAAAGATTTTCCTAAAGGAAAACTTTACAAGGGAGACTTGATGAGCTCATGTGATAATGACCTGCCAGATGGATGTGATATGGATGGAGTGAGTGGCCCATCAGGGCGGACAAGTTCTAACGCCTCTAGCATTGCAAGTGCCAGTTCTGATAGTAAAGAGTTTAGTGTACCATCAACGTCAAATGCAGAGAAATTGCTTGGTCTTGATAATAATGGTAGACTAATTGATACTAGAAGCTCCAAGTCTTCAGTGAGTATTTTACTTGTATTACCATTTTTTTTATTTGAGTTCAATTTCTTAGTTACAGTTTTTGTGCAATTGTATGTGTCATTCTTGCGTCAATATTTTGTATTTCTTATTGTGCATGTTGAGTTTTGAGTGTTTCACTCATTATGTTTTCATTATGCATTCATTTTTATGTGATCATCTTCCAAAGCTTAATTTATTTTCAGTAACTTTGCATTTTAGTGTTTAAGGTGAACATTATAGTCTTATTGTTTTAATAATTTAAAAACAGCAGCAATTTTTTGGGGCATACTGTAAATAAGCCTTGCACATTCTTGCGCCACTCTTGAGTAGGACCCTTTTTTTTTTCTCTAGTTTTAAGTCTGTTTTTAATATTGTGCTTTGCTTTCTTAATGTATATTTTAACAAGGTGCCCATTTGGATTATGATATGGGGACTGCTTTAGCCAGTCTTCAAGCCAGTACATTGTAGTAGCTATTTTTCACAGATAGCATCTTCTAGGAACTTGACGCCACGTTTATTGATGTCGCTAAAAATTCGCGAAAGCACCAGCATACTTTCTAGTACATTTATGTTTTGTTTTGAATCAATCTATGAAGTCATAATGCCACCTCAGCACTTTACAGTAGCCACCACACAATCTGGATAATATGTCCTCTCACAATAAAAATACCGGATGTTACAAATACCTGGAAATGAAAACAATATTTTAAATTTTTCTTATTTTAGTTGCAAAAGGTGGTTCTAACTCAAGTGAAAGTTATTATTCATTGAGATAAAGAATAAATTACTTACCTCAACATAAGATTTATCGGGAAAAGGATTAGTTATTTAGGAGTCAAATGTCTGTACATTTGACTTCACTTTCTGTAAAAGTTTGATGCCCATGAAGAGCCCACTTCAAGCTTTTATTCTTGTTTAATGAAAGCCAGATATGAAAATGTTCCGGCCATTGAAACCTTTTAAACCAGCTTTTGCCAGTCTGTGCCGTTGGAGGACTTATAATCTTTCAAATTTCTTCTGACTGAGCTGCGATAAGCACAGAAGAAGTTTTTTTACAGTCTCTTACAGACTTGTTAATGTGTTCTGTTCTGGCGATTAGTAGTCACACAACTTTTGACCGTTCTTGTCATGTTTTCATAAGAACTAGTGATAGTAGTAGCAGATTGCATTGTATACTGAAGACTATTCACAAACTTGCTTATTTTCTTGAGATTTGCTTGTTCATGCAATATTTAGATGTACCTGATACCTACTTTTGTCTAAGGCTATGTATATTTCATATATTAAGATTTAATGAAATTGGGGAATTACGAATATCATTAAATCGAAATCACACAGTTAAATACAGTTTTCATAAGAAACAAATGGAGTCTACAGGTTTAATAATATTTACTAATTTTTTACTTAATATATTTATTTGACAAGATTGGTAAAACAGATAAAATACACCTAAATTATTTGTATGGACTCATTAAACATTCCTTTAAAAATTTTATTTAATAATATTGCATCAATGTTGTATAGTTTATATATATCTTGTATCATGATATGTATCCCAGAATGAGATACGTGGATGCGAGGACACGCTTGTGATAGCAATTATGTTGTCGGAATCGCGACACGGACGTAAGGTCCCGTGACTTCATGGGCGGCGTTATTATAGGCTGTTTAACGTATCCCTTACACTAGTCGCAGACAGCGGCGGCGCGGCGGCACGTTAGTGGCCGCTTGGACAGGGTACAAAACTATTTATACTGTTTTTAATACTGGGTTTGTAATTGTTTTACTAAATTCATATAATTTAAAATTAATAAAATAAAGTCTTGTACAGCAAAGTGATGTTTTTAATAAGGGTTAATAATATTTCGCGCACCAGATGTCGCTAGTTGGGACTGACGGAGGCTTATCTGTCATGCAAATGGTCACACAGTGGGTTTTTCATTGAAAAGTTGCATTTTAAAAAAGCATTTATGTTTCTAGCGTATATTTATATACAAAACAAAGCATCGGAGGTGTTCTTTAATTTTTTGCACAATTTCAACCTTTTTTTTCAAATTCTTCTTTTAGAATCATCCGTAGTTTATCCATTTCTAGTTATTTCGGAAACAAACATTATTTCTTACACTTTTCTCATTATTTAACTTCCCCGCTATGAGAGATTTTATACGAGGTAAAGTCATGCTGCAGCTAGTTATGATCGTAACATAGCTTCACGAGTGGGTCGGCTCGACCGGCGTAGGACCACGCTCTCACAGAATACCATCTTAAAATAGAAGCTTAATGCTTCTGTGTTTCGTATGGTGAGTGTAGAGAACCGGAGATACCTTTTACTGGAAACGAGGCATTCCACTTAGTCCACAGGGGTGTCAACCCATCTATATTTTAATTCTTAATTGAGGATAAATGAAGATGTCTGTTTGTCACCCTATTCTATAAAAAAAAAATGAGATCTGTCAAATTCACTACTTCACCCACCCCGCACCAGTCTTGTGTGCAGAAAAAAAAGTCGTGGATTCCCTGATTAATCCAAGTATTAACAACGTCCAGAAACCCTAAAGTTGTACTTGTTGTTACGATTTTCCAATTAGGTCAGGCAAAGGTCTTAACCATACAGCCTAGTCTGATGTGTATTTTATTTATAAAATTCTTCACAAAATGCTGATGTGTTACATTGCGACCATTTCGGAAGATTTTAACGATACCCAACCCAGTGGACAGTTGGTGACGTTATTATCTCTAGCTTAGTATATACCTAGTATAATACTTAAACTAATAGAAAAAAAACACGCTTTAGAAACCTTAAAATGAAATGAAATATAAAATAAAAATATTTCACGGAAAACAAGTGCCGCATAAAATATGAGATAAAAGTTTAATTTTAAATAGCAAATAAATGTTACTGTCCTTATTTTTAGACTTAAGTTTAGTAGTGTAATAAATCAACAGAATATTTTCTTTGTAGTAGCGCCATCTACTTCATTCTATAGGTAAAGTCATTATCTATAGAATAAAATATATATTATCGAACAAAAATTGATCAACTACTCAAGGTGGTACGTAAATTAGGCGCTGATGGCAAGGATTGGTATATTAAGATAATTTTATTAAAGAGAGAAAATTTTATTTGATTAATAATTTTTTTAACTAGTTTTAATTCGTTGTATGGTGGCAGATTATCTGATAGTGGCGATATTTGCTATAGTTGTCACCTTTGCAACCACAGTTTTTTTAGTCGTTGTTAGGAACACGCTGCTGCCCATATCTTGATTTTTTTTTCTCTCTGTCGCCTCTTATGATTTCGAGTAATATATAAGGTTGTTTACAGAAATGTATTTGTAAATTTACAACACACATACAGTAATATAATGAAACAAAACATTTAGAACATTCAGAATAAAAGTAAAATATTTGGTAGTAATAAATAAAATATAAAAAATAACATTTGGCAAATTAAAATAAGTAAAAACTACGATTGTTTCCTCAAGAAACCATGTGACATCAGCAGAGAATGGGTATTGGGTATCAAACCAGCAAATCGAAATTCCACGAAGTTAAGTGGACGTGTGCTAAGGCCCGGTTGAGAATCATTGTTCAATTTTTGCTGCGAGAGTGATGAAAGCTTTACATTTTCTTTATCTTGTATTGAAAGATGTCTAATCGGCATACCGCGTGAATGCCTAGGGCTTACTGTTTCTGGCACCTAAACATACATAAAATTATACTAACTTCATTTTAGTCTTCGAAAAGCGTCATCTTTTCAAATGCGTTCAATACATATAGGTTCATTTTTATTCGCTCGAATTGGAAGGAGACATATTTGCAGTTCGGTCACTTGTAGCTGCCCCTGTACCTGGTAATAAGAATCACTTTCTTTGTTAATTGTTATGGTGTTAGATTTTTTATCACATTTCAATATTTTTATTTTATTTGCCTCAATTGCATTCATTAGGCCTTTTTTATATTCTGTAATAGGACAATTCACCTCACATCACTAGCACGTTATCACCAATTAGTCCGTCAGGCGTAGCTCGAATAAAATGGTAGGTTTTATCAATGAACAATCCACAAGGTTATTTTGCTGCTGTATCTGCTGCAGGGCATGCTCAATACCATGGGCCATTGACACCACATGAGATAGATTTTTCATCTACAAATTCAAATTGCTTTTTTTATCTGGTGAAGTATATGGTGGGTGCTGCATCAACTGAAACCAAACATTTTGCATGGCAGCGCCTGCAGCATCAGTTCGATGAGAATTTTCCTCGATGTTTATTCTTTAATTCTTCGCATAGTTTTTGATTAATAATGCTTAATGATCTCCGGCTATTGTCTCTCCTTTACTTAAATAGTCGATCAGTATTATACCTTGGGCATCCCAGAAGACAGAGAGCATTAGTTTTCCAACGGACGCAGAAACCTTGAATATCTTGGCTGGCGCGAAAGGCGGTCGTTTCCACACCGTGCTTTGGTTTTTCGTCTCCAGGTCGAAATGGTGTACCCACGTTTCATCTACGATTACGAAACGTGCGCAAAAATAATCTGGATCTTCTTTAATTATTGCTAAATTTAGATTTGAAATTTCAAGTTTTGGTTTCTTTTGGGCGTCTGTTAACATTCTAGGAATCCAACGCGCGGCCACCTTTTTAAATTTAAGGTATGAGTTAAAATAAACTGAATTTTCTCAAACGAAAGCCTTAGAATCTCAGCTACATAACGGATAGTCACACTTTGATCTACCTTAACAGTTTCCTCGGTTTTTTAATGTTTTCTTGCGTAGCGGCCGTTGTTGGCCATCCGCAGCGAGTGTCGTCATTGTAGGCGGTTCTGTCACGTTCAATTTCAGCGCACCAGTTCGAGTTACTCCATTTTGCTTACAAATCCAGACAAATGGGAGTTTTGAAAAAAATTGGGTATAGTTTTTGATTTAGTTATTTCTGGCTTTGGCTACTAACGAATTTAAGATTGAAAAAAAAATAGAACTCAATTCAATAACTAATTGATAACTGTACTATTCCGACAACTTATCGATCAACCTAGTAAATTTTACATATAGTTCTCGCCATGAAGGTCACCTCATAATGAGACTTAGAAAATGACTATCAACCATAATTGATAGGTCGGCTTTCAATGCTAGAGGATCTAGTGTTAGAAAGGAGTTTTCAGGTATATCAGCTTAAAAGTTTTATTGAATTTCTTCCATCTCTCTGAAAAAAAATATCACTAAGACAAACTGACATTTTACACCTTTGTCAACTGACTAAATAATCAATATTAGCAAAATAAAGTCTGTATGTCTATGACTTGCATGGAAATAAAATCAATTAATGCCCGTTGGGTACTTACTGTTCTTCTGTGCTTCTGTATTTACTTTTTAAAAACGAAATAAAATTTATTTATTTATTATTTATTTGTATATATCAATAAAGTCGCATCAATAAAGTTTTATTTGGTCGTGCTGTATGCTTATACTGTAACAAATCTTCATAGAAATACATTTTCAGAAAAATTGGGGGAAGCCCCGTGACCATGGGTGCTGTAAAGTTTCTGAAACGTAGGGAGTTATCGAGAATAAATCCTTGTTCTTTATTAAAAATAATGTGAAGTCGAATTGAGTAAAATTCCTCATTAAATTTCTTAAATACAAAAAGCTACTTTTAGTCAATTTCATCGAAATTATTACGTTGTTTTTAAAGACTGATCAGTTAAATAGCGATTAGGAGACAAGGTTCTAATTCTGTTTCTCTTTTTCAGAGCTACATGCACCAATACTGCGATGGAGATTACGATTCCGATGATGATGTCAATGAAGAATCATGGTGCACATGTCTCTCTTCACATGAGGTGGGTCTGAATTAGGAAAAAATATTTATATTTATGTTTTACATTAGCTAAGTCGGCACATTGGTGAGAATAATGATGGTAAAAGTAAAAAATATATAATAAGAATTACTTGTTATCTATATTTCATATAATATATAACTAGCTGACCAGGCAGACGTTTTGTCCTTTCCGACGACCATTTGCTTTCCTAAAGAAACTGAAATTAGCATAAAAAACATTGAGGGTCACTTATCAGGATAAAAACTATCCTATCTCTCAAGTTGGACCAAACTGTACACAGTGTGCAAAATTTCATTGAATTCAGTTCAGTAGTTTAGGAGTACATTGCGGACTAACAATGTGACACATAATTTTTATATATAAAGATTATTTAATTTTTCTATTCAATACATGTGGCCCGGTCCACCGTCAGATAAAAGTACCGCTACACGTTACACTGGTTACGCAAAGCGACAATCCGCTCCCCCCCCCCCCCCCCCCTTTTAATTTTTTTAATCAAAGTATGCTAATGTCGCGACTGAAGCGACTTTTCATAAAGTGGTTGTGCTTCGATGGTCCTTTTATCACCCTGAAATACCATCATCATCGATAGGTTGAGTTGTCTTCTAAATCTCATAAAATCTTTGCAATGTAAATTATCAACATATTAAAAAGAATTTTCTGAACGAAATTCGCGTTCTATACTTTTTACGTGGTTTGTCACCCTATAAAAATATGGGCATAGATCCCTACGCTTTTAAAAAAAAAAACTCCCAAAGTATCATCATTTCCTCTGTGACTAAAAGGAGAAGCATTCGAAACACCAGGAATTAAAAATAAGCCTTTTTATTTCCGATTTAACCTGTTTGCCTGAAGTAGTAGTAGTATTTGAATTTTTCGTAATCTATGATAAATGTAGATTCTATCGGCTGCAGTAACGTCTTAACATTGGTTGGGTTGTGTGCTCGTTTTAAAAAAACTTGTCCATAAAACATACCCACCCATACCGGACGATATAATAAATTGATGGATTCTCTTAAGCTATTACCGGAACCTTAAAATTAAAGGTGATAAAATCAGCAATATTTATATTAATATTATTATGGTATTGTTATTGATTATTTAACTGTTCATTATTTGTAGGACGATGATGAAGATGATGATCCGGAGCCAGATGAAAGACTATGGGTAAGTATTTCATGTGTGTGTAATTTTTTTAGTTACTCTAAGAAACTTGTTCAATAAGGGTTATTATACTACTAAAAACAAAATCCCAGAAAATGTAAAAAATTTGTGAATAATAAGTTTAAATGTTTTATTAAAGAATAATTGTACAGAAAGGGTTATTATAATATCAAAGAATACTGCGTGTGAACTGACTGCACACATGTTTTTTTTTAGACGAAATGATTACACGAACGTCGTGTGTTACAGAGGAAACGTCGCTACGAGCCACCCCCGCCTCAATCAGCGAAGAAGTTCTGCAGCGAAGGCAACATGGCATCAGGATCCGGATCAGGAATGGACTGCTGGTCCAATTTAGCTATGCAGCCATCCTCGTCAAGCAGCACACAGGGCCCACCAGAGCTAAAACAGTGGCTCCACAGGTAACATAATATTTAAATTCAATATTTTCACGATGATGAATTTACCGTGTAGTGTAAGAATATTTACTACCCCATAACATCTCGCGGGTGTCGTAAGAGCGACAGAGGGAAAGAAATCAGAAGATGGGCAGCAGCGTCTTCCTAATAATGACTTAAAATAAATAATCTGTGGTTACCTACTCTCTTGCCAAGCGTGGCAACTGTGGCAAATATTTTTCTTATGAGGCAATCTATGGGGGAGGCCTATGTTCAGCACTGGACGTTAATAGGATGTAACTGTAACGGATGATAAATTTACTGTACAAACTTTAAAAAGTATAGTTGCCTATAACATCCTACAGTCAAGCAAAGGCTTCTCTAATTTCTGTGAGGGTTTCCTTTATTAATCGTTTTATTTCCTTTAGTAATAGTAATAATTGCGAAATAGATTTGTAAAGCTAGGCTAACTTCTCATCTTCGGATATATCACCAATTACCATCACATGGGATAATAGTCAAGAATTGGCTGATTTTAGGTTTTAAAAGATTATTAGTTCACAAGCTGTACCAAAATAACAAACTATATTTTATTATTAACTTACTTAAAATAAATGGTTATTAATTCCACTAACCTATGTTTCTAAAACTCCAGGGTTAGTTGACCAATTTAATTTATTGATAAAAATAGTATTCTTTCCAAGTTTCCATATAAATTTGAACTAGTTTTAAATTACAGTAAGTTTAAATTTTTATATAATTCCGTAATATACATACAAGTAATAACCATAGTCTCCTACTTTTTAGATCAAGTAGTCTACCAACATAGAACTTATGTGTATTTATCATGCTAACTTTGCTTCACCAACACTATGGCAGATCTGATCTTCCCCTCTCTTCGACAGTTTTCTATAATACGTAACTTGGGCATGTGCCACTTATGTTATATTTTAAGTCTGTTTATTTTTAATTTTTTTATTACAACTATCAGAAGTCCACTGCTGAACATAGTCTATTATATATCCCCCATGGATTGCCTTGTATAATAGGACCATAATAGCCATGCTTGGCAGGTGTTGCTGTTGCCCAACTCTTTTCAGTTATTGTTATGTGGTTCTCTTATTGTATATCCCATATAGTAAAATTAAATAAAAATACTTTTTAACCTACATTGTTTTCTGTAAACATCGAAAATTTTATAATTGTTACCCAAAATAATACTTTCAGTTACAGCAGTTTGCAACTTAAGTTGATGGAGTAAAGTGATGTTTAATTTGAACAGATTTCAAACATGGTCCAACGGAGAGAAGATCCAGGCTATAGATGCACTTATCCATCGCTGCGCTGCAAGTGACGTCCGTTACATGATGAAGGCCATCGAGCCACTATTCCAACGGGACTTCATCTCACTACTGCCTAAGGAACTAGCGTTAACCGTTCTAGGATACTTACAGCCCAAGGACTTGCTGAGAGCGGCTCAGACTTGCCGTTACTGGAGGTGAGTGAATAATGGAGAAACTAAACTGGGTTCTTCACTAAATACTAGTACTGACTATTTGGTTAGAAAACATGGCTTCAACGTTTTGGGTTTTTTTATAGAAAAATTAGTATTTAGGCTTTTGCTCTCAAAGAGCAATATACCCTTATATTGCTCTTTAGAAAGATTGTATAAAAATATGTAGGTTTACAAGTTAAATAAATGAGCTTTATGTTAAAAACTAAAAGACACATGTTTCATTATTTTTAACAATTCTACAATATTAAGGACGAAAGGTTGATTGAAATTTGGCCATGTTTTAATTATATCTTTTATAACATTACCTCATACTCAGACTACGCTCAGTTGGGTACCTTTTTAGTAACCCTTTACCAAATTTATAATATGTTATTATTGTAAGCAAATAGCCATAATGTGTTACTAAATAAACTTATTTCCTTCTATTTTCTAAATATCAAAGTGCATGAAGAGATATATTTAAACAATATTTTGCGCTGTTTTAAAGTATATTCGAACTGCATTCCAGATTTCTTGCGGATGATAACCTTCTTTGGAAAGAGCAATGCCGTCGCATTGGAATTACAACACTGAAGAAAATGCCTCGCTCGTTGCCACGTTGTGCCAGTCCATGGAAAGCGGCGTACATGAGGCAGTATCTCATAGAAAACAACTGGCTCCACAAACCAGTCAACAATCCCATCATAATGCGCGGCCATGATGACCACGTGATCACCTGCCTCCAGTTCTACGGGAACCGCATTCTGAGCGGGAGTGATGATACCACCTTGAAAGTGTGGTCTGCTATTACAGGAAAGGTAAGAAAGACCAAATCTAAAGATGGGCATTTTAACGAGAAGCATATAATGTATCCATCACTTTGAATATAAGACATTTAACTAATTAAATTTAAAAGGCAATTAACGTTAATTGCTTATTCCGTTATAACAGGCCCGCCTGCATATTGATGAATTTTCTAAAAACAGTACCATCTGGGACGATTTTTAATAAGAATACAGCTATTAGACAACTGACCCCAAATATATTAATTCAAATTGTATTCACACAGTGCTAAGCCTCTGTTAATAAGTACTAAGGAAAGTTTGTTGAATTTATAATACAGTGAAGTATAGACTAATAACAGTAAACATTTTTTTAATGTAGTCATGTCATTAAGCAAGTAATGTTTTTCTCAATGTAATATTACGAGTCAAATATAATTATGAAACTGAAAGTAAAATTAGAAGCAATTAAGCATCCTATAAAACACATTAGCAAATAAGCAGTTATATAAGTTGTTTACGAAAAAAAATTAAGCACTTAAGTTTGTTGTTTGTCCATTTTAAGTCTATCTTCGACTATCTTACGCCTAAGACCAATATTTTTCTACCGCCTTCAAAAAGGAGACAGTACTCAAATTCGACTATGTTTTTTTATGTGTGTTAGTTACCTCATAACTTTTTCTGGGTGAACCGATTTCGATGATTTTTTTTTATTTGAAAGCTGGTGCTGTTGTTTTTGAGTTATTCTTAATAATTTATACTGAAGTCGGTTGTAGAAATTTTTTAATTTTTGATCATTTGTTAACTGTATTGCAGCTAAAAACATCCTGTTTGCCATATGAATTAGGAATTTGTACCCAACTGAATTCACTTATTTGAACTTGTGACATTCCTCAGTCCGAAAAAGGGTAAAAGTCAACTTTTAATAAAAAGGAAATAACTAAAACTAATAATTTCAATAATATAGCTTCAAAAGTTGGGGCTCTAATTCACACACTGTCTCAACACCAACTTCTGAAGCTATTATGTGGAAATAATTTTGTCCTTTTATGGTATTTGCAGTCTGTTTTACTTTTTATTATTATATTTTATTTTTTATTACAAGTGAAACTTATACCCGACTGCTCCAAAAGAAAGGGAATGTTTTAGTATGTATGTATGTATGTCTATTTCTTAGGCATTCTCTGTAGCCTAAATGCCTTGATGGACTTTAATATATGGTGTTGTTGATCAGTCTTAGTTGTGAAAGTGACATGGGTATAATTTTTTTCTCTTTTCAATAAACTTTTTTATGCTGTCGGGTTTTTCTATTACTGTTTTAACTATTGGGCTTGATACTAAAACAATTCATGCGCGTTACAAGAAGAAATGTAATAATATAAGATTGTAACAAATGTGGTTACCTGTTCCAGTGTCTCCACACCCTCGTGGGTCATTCCGGTGGCGTGTGGTCATCTCAAATGGTCGGTGACCTGGTTATCAGCGGTTCGACCGACCGTACACTGCGCGTTTGGAACGCCAAGACCGGACAGTGCCTAAAAGTGCTGGCAGGTCACACATCAACTGTGCGGTGCATGCATCTCCATCAGAACAGGTGTGTGTTGCTTAGCGTTATTATTCAAACACTTAATTAGAATTTAGTTTAGACCTAATAATCATTTATGTGACTAAACCATGTTATTTATGTAGATTTTGTACTATTTTTTACATTGTGTAATATCATAAGTGGCGCTTTTGCAACTGCGACTGTTTTTTACGAATTGCAAAATGCATTTACGTTATAAGAAGTGGTCATTTTTGAAAATAATATTTGTAATGATAATGCTATATAGTCGTAAATGATAAATTAAACATTCCATCGTGCTTATTCTTTCAAATCATGAATAATTTCATTTAACCTTGATAAGCTTTCGTGATGAGGATATCAGCATTAGGGTACGCGTACACCTAATCCGTCAATGGTCGAAGTTTGCTCGGGCGATGACGGCCGAACTCGGACGATCGAATCAAACACTTGTAAAAGAAAGAGAGTGCGTACATCAATACGACCGTCATCGTCCGAAGACGCACGAAATCGGCCGATCAACCGTTGAGTCCGAACTTGTTGGGATTTCTCGCCAGATTGCAGGCGTCTACAGTGCAAATTGAGTGTATTTATAGTTTAATTTAATCATTTTGTCTTTATTCTGTTGTTTTTGTCAGTGTTTTTATCTACCTAAACAACTACGTATATTGAAAATTAATTAGTTGTGTTTATAATAGACAATTACAATAATCGAGAGGTTTCGAAACGGTTATGGGCTGAAGTTGGTTAGGAAATGCATATAGCGGTTCCAGATATTTAAAAAAATGCGTCTTCACTCTGTTAAACAACACAGTCAACTATAGAATACCGGCAACGTCCAATGTCGGCACACGTGGTACACTGTTGCAGTGTAAGCACATACACGTCCGAGTAACTCGTCGGGGTAGTTCTGTCCGCCATCGACCGACAAAATCGGTTGTCCATGTACCGTTAGAGCCAGAGTAACCGACATAGCCAAACAGATTAGTGAAGGGTCATGGACTGGCCATGTATCTATATAAATCGACAACCGATTGGGAAGAAGGGATCTTGAGTGGCAGCCTCGTTCAAGTAAGCAAAATGTGGAGCGGACCTTGTTTAATGTGGTGATGACCTGGTTAGAGATGCAGGAAGTAGATGGATGAGGTGGCTCAGGACTGTGACTCACACAAGTAATAATATTTTAAGTATATATAAATTAGGAATAAATACATCTTAAAATTAATTATATACAATATTAAAAACTATAATAAAAAAAAATATTTTATATATATATATATATATATATATATATATATATATATATATATATATATATATATATATATATATATATATATAATACTGTACCTTAACTGTTGGAATTTTTTTTTGCTGTGCGGTACAATCCTAAAGTGATTAGTGCCAATAACTTGTTTAATTACTGGCATAAGCGAAAACAATCTTGTCCTATTAAGAAACTATTTCTAATCGAAACGCTCGCGTACAAGCTATGTTTAAACATAATATGAATATATCCACTGTATTGTGGGAGCTATTTTTAATATCTGTAGACAATCGTAGGGATTTATTAATTTTTTTTTTAAACTGAAATGAGTAATGAACTTACAGTCGACCTTTTGGTAAGTAGTTTCCTCAGCCTATGGACACCAGCAGTCTTTTTAAAACAAAGAAGGCAACAGATGCATTGTCACCTCTGAGGACTAAAATAGGATGCCTGACAGCCTGTAATCATTCTGACTGTATAACCCGCTATTTGGCGGCAGAAAACGAGTTCTACCGCCTATTTTCGATGTATTGTGAATGTAACAGTATTTCTTGCACTACAACCAAAACCATGACCTGATTACCTTTAGCTGATTACGTATACCTTTAGCTGTTTATATATACTAAAAATTTTATAAACAATATACCAGACAGGGGTTTGGAACATACAAACCTAACTAAAGAGTAACATGACTGATAATAACCCCTGGGAATGAGGTGATCATCACTACCATGCTGTTTCTAAATGTTTTCATAACAACTGTATAAAATACTATATTGTAATTTGTGCTTTTTTTTTATAATATCCCGCTGGGTTTCTTGCTGGTTCTTCCCAGGACAGTTTTTTTTTGTGAACCAGTGGTAAAAGTAAAATATGACTCAATAAGTATTATGTACATACTATAATCTTCTTCTATATTGAGTAAAAATGATTCTATTCTATTCTAAATTATTTGAATAAATTGTGTTGAAAAATTATTTAAAATGAAATGGAAGGAAATAGAAACATTTTAGAATTATAATCTGTGTATCTGGCAATGGTAATATTAATGTTTTTTTTATGGTATAGCTCATCTATAAATAATATAATATCTCACTTTAGAAAATGTTTAGCTCATGCTAGTAATCATAATCATTATTATCATCATTGCATCCTATCTAAAATCCACTGCAGAGCATATAAGCTTCCCATATAGCCTCCCCTACAACATATTTTTCAAAGTTATCACACTCTATTTTTTTATTATACTAAACCAGCGGTTAACTACTATCTCACCTGATGTTAAGTGGTGATGTAACAAAAGCCTATTCACTCTTGCCTTGAAGACACCCATATTGTAATCAGATAGAAACACAGATGCTGGCAACTTATTATTCCACTCCTTTGCTGTACGCATCACAAACGGTGTGGCAAACCGTTTGGTTTGCTACATCGTTTGTAATTGCTTGGTAAGTCAACAACGAATGGGTGGAAACTGACCAATCGTGTGTTTGTCCGATGGTGGAAGGGAGAGAGAGAGGAATTAGATTATGCAATTCCTGCGCACACTCTCCGAAATGCATCCTGTAGAAAACCGAAAGGTTGGCTACTTTGCGCCTGTGTTCGAAGCTGGTAAGATTGGTTTTAACTGAATTTGGATCACCAACAAGCCTCTTAGTACGCCTCTCCATTGAGTTCAAAGCTGCTAGGTGGCATTTTGCAGCACCGACCCATATATGGCAGCAATACTCCATGCACATATTTTACACGTGGTACAGCCATGCTGCAGCTATATTAGTAGTATAGTTGTAGTACGAATGGGTCGGCTCGACCAGGGTAGGACTATCGTCTCACAGAATACCAGTGTAAAATAGCAGCTTAATGCTGCTGTGTTTCGTGTGGTGAGTGTAGAGAACTGGTGACCCTTTTTACTGAAAACGAGGCATTCCATCTTAGTCTTCACGGGTGACAACGTATCTGCATTTTGGTTCTTAATCGAGGATAAATGTCTATCACTTACCACACAGCATCCACTTACCATCAGGTGGACTGTGTGCTCCTTTGTCACCCTTAATCTATAAAAAATAATTCAAAATTAAAAATTTTGTACAATCGACTGCAATATAAATTATTAAGAATAACTCAAAAACTATTGGTCAGACCTTGATTCAATTTATATGGGACCACATGAGAAGCACCAGCTTTCAAATAAAAAAGAATCATCGAAATCGGTTAATCCAGAAAAAAGTTATGAGGTAACACACATAAAAAAAGAACATACAGTAGAATTGAGTATCTCACCCTCTCACCCCACATTGTAATCGGATGGATAAACATATGTTTTATAGGATAAGAGTGACAATCAGCCAGACAGTCTACGTTATAGTAAGTGAATGCTGTGGCCCATAGACATCGACACTCTATCCAATAATAAATTATTAAATCAAATATCAATTAATAATCATAATGCATATGCGTTGTCGCAAAACGCAAGTTGTAAAAACCACGAACGTCAACATGCGGGTGAAAGCTTTTTTCCGTAGTCTATTTTTTTTTCTATAATATGCTACTTGTTTACGTTAAATCGTAAATCATGCAAGTTGTAAAATTATTGGTGTCCATAACAAAAGGTATCAGCACTTCTTTTGTTTTCAAAGGGACTATTACCGACCGGCTCTTTTTGTTCAGATCACCATCTACATTCTTATCTTGTTTCCTATTTACCGACAGTTTATGATCTTATCTGTATTAAATCACAATCCGAAATAAGTCATTAGCCAAAATTAAATCATAAATCATACCGAAAAATTGTATATGGTCGGTGACCAAAACAAAGGTGTTGTGTTGACACTTTGTCCGTTTTCAAAGTGACGAATACCGATCGGCTCCTTTTATGTAGATCATCTGCATTCTTATCTTGCTTCCTAGTTACCGACAGTATATTGCCTTATCTAGAAGGTGTTACAAAAAGCGGGTCCTCTTAGGAAGTGATTCTATTGCTCAAAAATAACAACTTCTACGGGACCTATATCGAAATCTCAAAAAAAATTACCTCTCCACACAAACTGGTCTCAGCTGATCGGCGGCTTAGTATGGGGAAGCCATTTTTTTTTTTGAGATTTCGATGTAGGTCCCATAGAAGAAGTTGTTGTATTTGAGCAATAAAATCACTCCCTAAAAGGATTACCCGCTTTTTTGTAACAGCTTGTATATTGTTACGGTTTTATAGTTTTAATAATAAGGTGCAAGGAACAATAACTATTTTACTATCACTACATGTAACTATACTTTATTTTATAGTTTTTGATTAAAATTTTAACAAAAGGGATGTTAATTCTGAATACGCGTACTGCCCGCCCATGAGCGGGGTCGGCATGAAAGGTCAGATTTGTCCTTTTCTAAAATCTTAGATATCCGCAGGGCGTTTTGATAATGAATCAATCATAATAAAACGAGTTATTGGACAAAGTCTTATATTTTTTTCATGTTATTTGGCATACTTATTAAGATTTGAAATCCGCCCGCCCATGGGTGGGATCGGCATGTGAATTAAAGTTTTCCCGCCCATGGGCGGGCAAGACACTGAATGGGTTAAATAGCGGTTTAGTGTAATCTTTCTGATTTTTGATGATCAGATGACGAATGATGAAGGATTTTATTTTTACGCAATAATTACTTTAAATTAGATTTACAGATGTTCAAAAGACTTGACGGCTCCGTGGCGCAGTGGCTTAGCAATGAGTATAAGCGCTGGGGGCTCGGGTACATATTCCGCACGGAACAAGTATTTGTATGGCCTACAAATAATTGTTCCGGGACTGGATGCTTGTCCTTGTGTAATTTATGTTTGTAAAGTGCCTCCACGATACTGGAGAAAATCTAAGTTTTTATTTAGTAAAAAAAATAAGAGAATAGCAACTTGGCTTTAAGTCGTTTAATGTTACTACCTCTACATACTTCAAGTAATGAGGGCTAATAATTTTACTCTCATAGCTACTATTTCACAAATAAACATAAACTAACATTTTCCGAACAAATAAACTTCCCGTCGCCATGTAATATTACAAATATTACAAATCATTCAAATTTGGTGCGGTAAAGAATGAACGTGGAAAGAGTCACAAAGCAAAGCTATGTTGGAGAAGTGAAGCGCAGAGTCTGGAAGGGACGTCCTGGATGAAAGTTTATCGACCGAATTGGCGGTATATTAAAAGAGTACTCTTAACCGACGAGCATGTTTATGTAGATATATGGATGTAAAGGAGACCAGAGAGGTGTGTCATGACTGTGCCAAATGGAAATCCATAGTCTCTAACCCCTCTGGGTGACAGGCGTAAGTGCTAGTGTTTGTGTTCATGTTCATTTTTGGTGACGCTCTTGTAGCAGAAAAATCCATGGATGCACTTATTATCTACCACCAGTAGAGCTAAATTGCAATGTGGTAACGTAATAGAATCGATACTATATTTTTGTGCCGTAAGAGACGACTATGGGAATTACAAGACGGGTATGAAATCCTCGCTAAAGAAAAACCAGCGAAAAAGAGGTAACATCTAAGGTCCTGAGCAATCGATGGCAAATCGATAATGCAAGAGCGTCGATTATGATAGTTTCTCCGAACAGAGGGAGAGGAGGGCTTTAACTTGCTAGGATTTTTTTAGTGTCTTTTTCATTCATTACAGCTTATTAAAAGTCCACTGCTGAACATAGGCCTCCTCCATGCATTGGGGGAGATATTTACCATTATGACTTTCAATTACTATTACAGCGGAATCCGTTTATAATGACATCGAAGGGAAATAACAAACACGTCATACTAAGCGGACGTCATATAAAGCATTTTGTAGAAAATAAACAATCTCCAGTTTTTGTTAGTACGAGTATGTATTTATTGTAACAGAGAAAAATCTTTAATTATTGTAACTTAAATTCTTAATAATAAATTCTTGTTTTTAAAAATCATTGAGATTGTCGAGTGACCAACCCCAAATTCCCTTGCGAGAGATGAGTTGGATTCTCCATTTTCTAAACTGCACGTGCACTGACGTTAAGATTTCATTTTTTTTTACAAATCACTAACAAACAATGCCGTGACCTTCAATAATCAATTACCCACTGAGACTCAAAACAAAAAAAAGCCATGCACGCGCCGAACGTCGTCTGGTATCAATTGACTCTCCTGAACACTGCCGAAGGTGTTAGGAATCATGTCAGTCACTATAACCGGACACAATTTAGTAAAAATGGGTCACAATAAGCGACATGTCACTATAAGTGAAGTCATTATATCCGACTTTATTATAAAGAATTTTATATGAAAACCAAACTTCGCTGGTAATTACGTCATAATAAGCGGTTGGTCAATATAAGCGGAGTCATAATATTCGGATTCTACTGTATATAATAATATATATATATATATATATATATATATATATATATATATATATATATATATATTGATTAAATTTTTTTCTATTCTATTCTTTTCATAGTTGCCACGCTTGGCAGTTTCTTTTTCTGCCGACTTCCAAAACGGACACTGTACTCAATTCGACTGTGTTTTTTTTTAGATGTGTTACCTCATAACTTTTTACTGGGTTAACCGATTTCGACGATTATTTTTTTATTTGAAAGCTGGTACTTCTCGTGTGGTCCCATATGAATTTGATCATGGTTAGTTTTTGAGTTATTCTTAATAACTTATATTGAAGTCGGCTGTACAAAATTTTTAATTATATTGAGGTTTTATCGAATAGATGATGTGACGCTGCCCATGCTTATTTTCATTTCCCTCCTTGCTTTTTTCAACAGCTATGCGATAATTAAGTAATGGATTCTCTTACGGTGCCACTACATGGCGATTATATTATTATTATTATGATTTTTTTTATAGGATATGGGTGACAAACGAGCACACAGTCCACCTGATGGTAAGTGGCTGCTGCGGCCCACAGACACCCACATCTATCTTCTATTACAAATCAAAATGCAGATGCGTTGTCACCCGTGAGGACTAAGATGGAATGCCTCATTTCCAGTAAAAAGGGCCTCCGGCCACCTGCACTCACCAAGCGAAACGCAGAGGTAAACCTCTACTTCACGCTGGTATTCTGTGAGGTCGTGGTACCACCCCATCCGTGCGACAGCAAAAGCTGCCGCGTGGCTCTACCACTGTTCACTCGCTGTTTTTAAATATATTACAATTAAAACAAATTTTAACTAGCTTTTGCCCGCGACTTCGTCCGCTTAGATATTATACTTTAAATCAATTATACTTTACAATATTTGCACCGCTCGCCAAAATAGCTCGCAGATGACAGATTTTTTCCGACTTACTTAACACTTATCGTTATATTTTGACCAATTCACACAATATCTTTATTAATTGTAGCCTATGTGTTGTTCTGATGTATGAGCTATATTATTATGAAGTTTCATTAAAATATATTACAATGGTTTTTGCGTAGAAGAGTAACAAACATCCATACATCCTCACAAACTTTCACTTTTATAATATTAGTTAGTAGAATTCATAAAATATAATATATGTACAATATCTTTATATATAAAAATTACGTGTCACATTGTTTGTCAGCGATGATCTCCTAAACTACTAAACTGATTGCAATGAAATTTTAAACACTGTGTGCAGTTTGGTCCAACTTGAGAGATAGAATAGTTTTTAGTTTCGCTATAAGTGACCCTCAATATTTTTTATTACGAATTTAAGAATTTTTATAGGACACAGGATCGTCGGAGAGGGCAGAACAACGTCTGCCTGGCCAGCTAGGATAATATAATATATAAAAATGTACCAACCCCTTTTGTTTAAATGCTAACCCTTCATTCACATAGTAATTGACGCACGAGATATTAGCGATCGGACTAATACGCCATCCAATAATGTACCAATAGAGCACAATGAGCTTACCCAAGTTGACATCCTAGTATCATTAATGCCAGTTAAAAGCTATAAGCGTTTTTACGTGGTAGAACTATAATGGCGCAAAATAGTTGTAGCACGAATGGAAGGACAACGCTCTCCCAGAATACCAGCGTAAAATAGCAGCTAAATGCTGCTGAGTTTAGAGAACCGCAGACCATTTTTCCTGGAAACGAGGCATTCCATCTAAGTCGTCAGGGGTGACAACGCATCACCATTTTGAGTCTTAATCGAGGATAGATGTCACCATTATTCTAAAAAAAATAATGGGTATGGCATATCTCAATGTTAAGTTTATAGTGTAGGTATTTCATTTATATGTATCTCAAATTGGCAAGTCCACAGAGAAGGTGATATAAGTGATAGGTATAGAATAGATGCATTGATCTCGCTTTTCTAAGTGTACAGTTTCTCTTTCAGAGTGGTGTCGGGATCTCGGGACGCGACCTTGCGCGTGTGGTCGATACCAGATGGCAGGTGCCTTCGGGTACTGGTAGGACACTTAGCTGCCGTCCGTTGTGTGCAGTACGACGGGAAGGTGGTGGTATCCGGCGCTTATGACTATTTCGTCAAGGTCTGGAACCCGGAGACGGGAGACTGTCTGCACACCCTCGCCGGGCACACTAACAGGGTTTATAGCCTCCAGGTAAGGATTTGTTGTCTAACTATTTTTTTATCAGGGCGAGCGAAACGAGCCCCTGCACTATCCCACAATCTATGCATTTTTGTGGTACACATTACTGAGAAACTGTCACACTTTCGATTCATGTCTAGATGTGTTATCAATCATAAAAATATTATTTTATCCACATTAAAATAAAATAATAGATACAAGGACGTATAAAAGAGAGGGTTTTTATACGTCCATGAGAAGAGAGAACAATTTTCATTATAATTAGATTTTTATTATATTACTAACGCCACCTGTAAGAAAACTAAAAAATACTTTGTAGTAGTACCACGTTAGATACGTTAGATGGTGCTGATTATGAATTATGAATGGAGCATAGCTTTAAAAAATGTTGGATAACCCGTCAGGTTCCGAAATTGTTTTGGGACAACTTAGATAGGTCTGGCCAAGGTCAGAACAATTCTTTTTTAAATGTTATTTATAAGAAAACTTTGAACCCCTTTTTAACATAATATTGTGCTCATGTAGGAGTGTGAGATTTGGCATAGTAAATTTTATGTGTAGAAGGAGTGCAGAAAGCAAAACACGTGTTACAAGTACATTATACAATAAAATAAAATATACTTTGTCAACATGCATACTGTCACTACAATGTCTCAGAGTAAGTATAATGTAGTTTTGTGTAATGTAATGTACCTTTGTCTCTCTCTACTCTAAGGCCAATATCAAATACTTAATAGTTTTTGGTCAAACATTCGCAAAGATAAAAGTATGGCGCCAAAGACTTAAGATTCTGCCAACAAATAATTACTGCTAGATTGACTGAATGAATTCGTTTTTCATAAGTGTGTGGGATGCATGTCAAGGCGAAAATAGTTTATTTTATATATTAGATGTGTGTTTTATGTTAATGTGCAGTTGAAAGTGAAATACAAATTCCTTAATATACAAACCTAAAAAAATTAATAAATTACGGTCGAATATTGAACACTAGGCAACCACTAGTTCTTAAAAATATGCACTGGGTTCCACAAGGTTGTTTTTTATCGCCTCTGTTATTAATATTGTTTTATAGTAATTTTCAAGCTTTTAGTACTGTGCAGTTTCTGCAAAAAACTTTAAAGCGAATAGATTTTAATGCAATGCCTGTCATCCAGGCAATATTCAGAAACTATAGACTGAACTTCTGCAGCATAAAGTTGCTGCTTTCCACGTTTCCAAACCACTAAAGCATTCGGTCATTAGTTCATTTCTTAATCCTGGTCACAACATCTTGCAAACCTAATGCACATTTGAAAACTGAATGCAGATTAAACATTATTCGCTTTTCTTATTTTGTATGTGGTAGAGCTATGCTGCAGCTATATTAATAGTATAGTTGTAGCACGAATGAGTCGGCTCGACCGGGGAAGGAGCACGCTCTCACAGAATACCAGCGTAAAATAGCAGCTTAATGCTGCTGTGTTTCGTATGGTGAGTGTAGAGAACTGGAGACCCTTTTTACTGGAAAAGAGGCGTTCTATCTTAGTCCTCACGGCTGACAACGCATCTGCATTTTAATTCGCAAACAAAGATAGATGCAGATGTCTATGGGCCACAGCAACTACTTACCATCAGGTGGACTGTGTGCTCGTTTGTCACCCTAATTCTATAAAAATAAATAGAAGTGTCGTATTGACAGAATTAAACAATCTCAATCAAACATATAGAAAATTTAAAATCTTAAGTAAAAATCTGCTAGAATGGTCTAGCAGAGAATTAGATATAGAATCATGGGAGTCTATATCACTGTAGAAAGAATTTGTTGCAAACACCCCGCTTGGCTGTTGAAGGTTTGATTGCAGTACCAGATGTATCGCACTTTCTACGCTGCTTCCTATCGTCTGTATAGTATTTACATTTATATAAGCGTTATGACTGATCTGTGTTCCGAGTGGTCCCGTGTTCGAATTCCGGGTAAGGCCAAAATCAATTATTGGGTATTTCTGCCAAAAATGTCTCAGTATCAGTCTAAAGGCAAGGCAAGGCAAGTTGGCAGTCTTTCAACCCTGTGCTTCACTGTCGGTCCTGCGCCTAATCTTTTTCCGGTCGTGTCGGATTGTCGTTCTATGAGACTATGAGAGTGTAGTGAATGCAGTGAGCATACACTCGTGCACTATAATTCTATCTTGTGCAGATGACTATTTTATCTTTACTGCATTTTTGTTATATCTATCACAGGTTATGAGCTCTTCCTGACTTTTTCCATCATCGCCTTTTAAAACATCTACAGGATAAACTAAACTAAACTTAACTTAGTTTTAGTCCTTGTTATTGATGTGCAATTCTGATACTAAACTTTAGTTTTTAGTCCTTGTTATTGATGTGCAACACAGTACGGTCATTGAGGTGATACTTTAATGAGAGCCTCCGCACGAATTATTATTAATAATTATATTCTAATCATTATTATTTTAAGAGATGCGAAAAAATCCGCTTTCTCCTTAACGCGCTACTGAGCCTCTTTAACCAGAGGCAGTATAGGTCAACAGAAGTTTGCCTAGATTACTTTGGCATGAGACCAATATTTAGCATTGTTTTTAATTAATAATTGTAACAATAATTGTTTATTTCCAATACAAATCAATATTACATATACTGGCTATAACTTTACTGACTACAAGTGGTAAAATTAAAAATTTTGTACAACCGACTTCGATCTAAATAAAATGAGAACATCATCAATGTAATCGAAGTCAGTTAAATATGCATTATTAACATCGATCACTAATAAAAAAAACTCTAAAAACTGTAGCCAATTGTGTAGGCGTAATTCAAGTGGAAATAAATATACATATATGTAAATTCAAGTTTAAAACGCATTGCCTAAAGTTGTATTCACAAAGCTACGTACAAATTAAAAGCGCACCCAAATGTTCGAGTGGGCGCTCATTCGGTAAGGACATTTTTTGTCACTGATTGTGTGTTTAGTTTTTTATTAGTGATCGATGATTATTAAGGATAACTCAAGAACTGGTCAGATCTTGACCTAATTGGACTGGACCAGCTTTAGCAAATAAAAAAAGAATCATAAAATTCGGTTTACCTAGAAAAAAGTTCTGAGGTAACATACATAAAAATATAGTCAAATTGGGAACCTCCTCCTTTTTTGAAGTCGGTTGGTTAAAAATGAAATTAATGTCATAGTTAAGTAGTCAACAATTGTAGAAATCAACTTGGCTAACGTCGTTGGCCTCCCGCTAATAACCAAAAACTTATTCACATAAGGAAAGAAATACTTTATTATATTATTTATTACCGTGTAGTGGTGGTGTAAGTATATGTATTTCAATATAGAAATAACATTTAAAATGGTGGGATTTTTTTTTTTTTTTCATTAAAAAAACGTTACCCCCACACTAGGATTTTCTCCTGTATCGTGGAGGCAGTTTACAAACATATATTGCACAAGGACAAACATCCAGACCCGGAACAATTATTTGTAGGCCATACAAATACTTGTTCCGTGCGGGATTCGAACCCGCGGCCCCAAGCGTTGCAACTCATTGCTAAGCCACTACGCCACGGAGCCGTCAATTTAAAGTCAATTTAAACGCCGATTTAAAGTTAACTATGAAAACTTCTATGAGACAATCTACGGGGGAATCCTCTGTTCAGCAGTAGACTTTAATAGGCTGTAGCGGTAACGGTAATATGTATTACAGTTCGACGGGATACATGTTGTAAGCGGCTCATTGGATACGTCAATCCGCGTATGGGACGTCGAATCCGGACAACTGAAGCACACATTGACCGGACATCAGTCTCTTACGTCCGGAATGGAGCTGCACTCTAACATACTAGTATCCGGCAACGCGGACTCCACCGTCAAGGTCTGGGACATCACTACGGGTCACTGCCTACACACATTGTCAGGTAAGTTTTTTTTCATTGACATGTAATGTACATTGTTATAGATGTGAAAGTGAAAGAAATATTTAGGAAATGCATAAGGATAATAGTAGTCAAAACGGTAGTATCTTACCAATCGGCACAAGAACCAGGCAAACAGTTAACCCCACTTTACCAGCGCTAGATAATTCGGCATGAGATCACAGGTGTATTCACATACAAAACGTTTCGTTCGTATACACGGAACCGAGGATAGAACTTTAAAAAAAAGCTATTTTATTACACAACACGTTATAATTGAGTAAAATTAACAATAAAGATTTGGTAAACTTATGATATAGAAATAACTGGGAATTAGAAGAACGATATATTAAAGATTTAATAACGATATAGTAACGATGTATGATAGGCCTTATGTCGCTGACGTAGCAGCATGAAAGACATGCGTTAACCGATCTTCTGACATTGATGGGGTATAACAGCACGTACGGCCGTGTGTATGTAGGATTGAAAGGGGGCAAGCTAGGTGAAGGAAAGAAGTATGCGTATGTAATTAAATAATATTGCAAAGGGCTAGGTTTTCCTGTACTTAAATAACTTGTCATCATTATGACAGGTCGATAGCACAAAGCAGGGTCCTAAGCCACCTACATCAATTGATTTCTTGTATGCCTCCTCGGGTTGTCACTCCATCTAGTAGACATTTACTTTTAGTGGACATAGTGCCCTTTTGATTAATTCTACTTTATTTTAATATTTGTGATTTTACAGTAGAGGGCCTGAAAGTCAATCATATGATGCAACCAACTAAAGCCAAAGAATATGTTGTCATCTCTACGGGTGTAGTTAAATTAACATTCTACTGATGTTAATCCTATAGGAAGTATGGACACATGACTTAAGTTTGATTTATTTTTACATAGTAGTATACACCTCTCTGCAATTGGATAGGTTTCGTACTCTGATTCTGTACTCGGATAGCCATCGTAGCCCTACTGTACAAGCACTTCAACACTTCGATATACCGACAGTCGACTTGGCACCGCTGAAGGGACTGCAGCACCGCCCAAATTTCGACGGAATCAAAGGCTTTCTCATAGTCCACATACGCCAGACATAATGGCAAATTGTACTCTTCGGACTTCTGTACAATTTGCCGAAGGGTATGTATGTGGTCTATGGTGCTAAAGCCCTTTCGGAAACCGGCTTGTTCGGGAGGCTGGAAGTCGTCAAGTCTGCGCGCGAGACGATTCGTAATGACTCTCGAAAACAGCACGTAGACGCGGCTCAGAAGGGAAATCGGTCTGTAGTTCTTCAAGAGAGCGTTGTCACCTTTCTTGAAGAACAAGACCACCGCACTTCTGCTCCACGCCTCCGGTGTAATGCCACCATGGATGACGGAATTAAAGAGCTTCTGAAGGACTTCAAGTACCGGTCTTCCACCCGCTTTCAGAAGCTCCGCTGGAATTCCATCCTCGCCTGGGGCCTTACCGTTTTTAAAGTGCTGGAGAGCCATTCTAATCTCGCTCACACTGATGTCCGGGATATCTTTGGAATAGTGTCGGATGAGACTCGCTCTTGGATCGTTACTCACACTTGCGTGTGGCTCCAACGATGACGTGTACAGCTGCCCATAGAACCTCTCAATCTCACTCAAAATCTCAGGTGTCCCGGAAACGATGCTGCCACATTCTGTCTTCAGCTTTGAGAGTTGGCTCTTTCTGGCAGACAGTTCTCTGGCAAAGACTTTGGAGCCTTGGTTCCGCTCGATCGCTTCTTCAATACGAGCTGTATTGAAGTTGCGTAAGTTAGGGTGTAAGTGTAAGGTGTAAGACAGGGTGACGTCATATCCCCGAAACTCTTCACCGCTGCATTGGAAGACGTTTTCAAGCTTCTGGACTGGAAAGGATACGGTATCAACATCAATGGCGAGTACATCACTCACCTTCGATTTGCCGACGATATAGTCCTTATGGCAGAATCGCTGGAGGACCTAAGCACTATGCTCAATGACCTCGATAGTGTTTCCCAACGGATAGGTCTTAAGATGAACATGGACAAAACAAAGATCATGTTCAATGTCCATGTCACACCTATGCCGGTAGTTGTTGGGAGCACTAAGCTCGAAGTTGTTGACGAGTATGTTTACCTGGGACAAATAGTCCGATTAGGTAAGTCCAACTTCGACCGAGAGGTCAATCGACGGATTCAACTCGGCTGGGCAGCGTTCGGGAATCTACGACACATCTTCTCGTCAGACATACCTCAAAACCTGAAAACGAAATTGTACAACCAGTGCGTGTTGCCAGTGATGACTTACGGAACTGAGACGTGGTCCTTCACTGCTGGCCGTATGAGGAAGCTCAAGGTCGCTCAGCGAGCTATGGAGAGGGCTATGCTCGGAGTTTCTCTGCGTGATAAACTTAGGAATGAGTATATCCGCAGTAGAACCAGAGTAACCGACATAGCCCAACGGATTAGTAAGCTGAAGTGGCAGTGGGCCGGCCATATAGCTCGAAGAACCGACAACCGATGGGGAAGAAAGGTTTTCGAGTGGCAGCCTCGTTCCGGTAGGCGAAGTGTAGGGCGTCCCCCCCACGAGATGGAGTGACGACCTGGTAAGACATGCAGGAAGTCGATGGATGCAGGTGGCTCAGGACCGTGCTTTGTGGCATTCTTTGGGGGAGGCCTATGTTCAGCAGTGGACTTGTGAAGGGCTGTAATGATGATCATGATGATGAGTAGTATACAGGTGACAACTAGCACACAGTCCACCTAATGACAATTGGATTACGTGGCCCATGGACATCTACATCTATTCTCAGTTAAGAATTAAAATGGAGACCCCTGAGAATTAAGATGGAATGCTTCATTTCCAGTAAAAAGTGGCTTCACTTCCCTACACTCACCATAGAAAATACAGCAGCATTAAGCTGCTATTTTTATTTATAATAATAATTGTTTATAATAAATAAAAATATTACACTGGTACTCAATTTCACTATCATTAATTTTTATAATAACAAATTAGCTGTAACTATTGTAGGAAGACAACTTTGCTAACCCGTTTAAAACCCTGCCTTCCAGTTAATGATACTGGCTCTTGTACTCTACCATACGAGGAATAGGTAACAGGGTTGTACCAACATAGGCAGACCCATTGACAAAAGGGGAGCCCTTCCCTACCCTACCTTTTAAGTAGTGATATTTCATGGGTGTTATATTATAATATTATAAGGGATTAAAAGTCAATTTAGCTTTGTATTTCTCGAGATTATACTCCTTTTTCAAATGAATCTAAACTATTAACACTGTTCTAGTAGGGTTATTTTTCCATACTGACATAGAAGGGTGATTATTCCATTTTTGATGATGAACATCAAAACTAAGCGTGATATTGATTAGTTATCGTAATCATTAATTAGGCTTGTACATAAACCAGAACTGTAAAAAACTAATTCGAGAGCTCTCTTTTCACACTAATTTTACCGCTACCCGCTACTATCGGAAATCAATGTACTTCAATTATCACCTATTTTATCCATACAAATAAATAAAATTGATGTGTCCGTTTGTAATGTCAAAATCACAGTTTTTTACTAAACGCATATGAAAGTATATACGGTACTTATAACAAAAATACAATTTTTAAAGTTTTTGTCTGTCTGTCCGTCTGTCTGTCTGTTTGTTCCGGCTAATCTCCGAAACGGCTGGACCCATTTTGACGGGACTTTCACTGGCAGATAGCTGATTTCATAAGGAGTAACTTAGGCAACTTTAATTTTAGAAAACGAATTAGGGTTCCGTGCAAAAACATAAAAACCTTAACACGCGAGCGAAGTCGCGGGTAACAGTTAGTTTTATTTATAAAACTGAAGTGACAAACGAACTGACAGTGCCACTTATGGTAAGTGACTACTGGAATCAATTTTCACCTGCAGCCAACATCAAACGAAGAAGGCTACAGATGCGTTGTCACAAACAGGACACCATATTGGTAGCCTTACACAAAAAGAACTAAGATGGAATGCCTCACAGCCTAACAGCATAGCTATACTGGCTCTCTATACCTTTTAGACTGGAACACACCAGTGCACGCACTGCACTAAGGGTACCAGGTACCTACCCAGAGGTACCTAATTTTTACGTGGTAGTGCCATGCTGCAGCTATATTTATAGTATAGTTGTAGCACGATTGGGTCGGCTCGACCGGTGTAGGACTACCGTCTCACAAAATACCAGCGTAAAATACGAGGGCGACACTGAAAATTTCGGGAATCAAGGAAGTGACACAACATTACTATTTAAAAATGTGCTTATTGCATATTATATTATTCGATGTATTCTCCGCGAAATTTGACACATTTTTCCATACGATGGAACCAATCATTGAAGCAACCATTCCATTCGGAAGTTGGGGTCTCCAAAATGGCCGTTTTGTAGGCGTCCACAGCTTCTTCAGGTGATGAAAATCTCTGTCCACGCAATTTATTCTTTATTTTAGGGAAAGTCTAGAAATCATTAGGGCTTAGGTCGGGGCTGTACGGCGAATGGTCTAATAATTCTATGTTTTCTTGCTCTAAAAACTCTTTTGTTCTGTGTGCGGTGTGAGAACTCGCATTGTCGTGATGGAGGATGATGCGGCGGTTGCAGTTCTCTTTACGGAGAAACGACATGTGGCAAACAAATGCTAGCATACCATTCTGCATTAACCGTTCTTTGTCCCTCAAGAGGAATAGTCGTAACATGGCCGGTTTTGGAGACAAACGTGGCCACCTTTTTTTTTGCAACACTCCGTGAACGAACAATTTTTGTTGGCTTTAACTCATTTTCGAACACCCAAACTCGAGACTGGTTTTTTGTTTCGGGTTCGTACGTGTATATCCAGGATTCGTCACCTAATACGATGTTCTATACAGCATTTGAGGATCCTGCGCAAGATTATTTGTATTTGACTCATGCCAATGTCTAAAGTTTTATATATAGAATATTTCCACTGTTCCTGTCATATTAAAATCTTTTTAATTGAAAACTCCTTGGTTTTAAAAATCGAATACCATTTATTTATTTAAAAAAAGATTCTCGGTCTGGCCACAAGGTTTTATCAAACTTGTTTAGTCGTTGAGAAAATGGAATTGACTCGAGAAAATTCAAGAGCGATGATTTATTATGACTTTCGAAGTGGTTTAACACAAAAACAGTGTGTTAACCGGATGATTTCTGCATTTGGTGATGAAGCCCCATCCAAAACCACAATTTATCGCTGGTTTGCTGAATTTCAACGTGGAGGACGTGTCAAGCTCAGTGATGATTCCCGTCAAGGTCGTCCAAAAACTACAGTCACCCAAGAAAACGTTGATGCTGTGCGTAAGCTGATTGAGGAAGATCGACATGTGACATACCGCGAAATTCAGGCAACTTTAAACATTGGCATGAGTCAAATACAAATAATCTTGCATGAACAATTAGGTGTAAAAAAGTTGTTTTCCCGATGGATACCGCATTCGCTCTGTGAAGAGCAAAAAGCGGCTCGTGTTACTTGGTGCGTCAGAACTCTCGAAAGATTCCACGCAGGATCCTCAAATGCTGTATACAACATCATATCAGGTGACGAATCCTGGAAATACGCGTACGAACCCGAAAAAAAAGGGTCATTTGGGTGTTCGAAAATGAGTTAAAGCCAACAAAAATTGTTCGTTCACGGAGTGTTGCAAAAAAAATAGTGGCCACGTTTGTCTCCAAAACCGGCCATGTTACGACTATTCCTCTTGAGGGACAAAGAACGGTTAATGCAGAATGGTATGCTAGCATTTGTTTGCCACAGGTCGTTTCTGAACTCCGTAAAGAGAACTGCAACCGCCGCATCATCCTCCATCACGACAATGCGAGTTCTCACACCGCACACAGAACAAAAGAGTTTTTAGAGCAAGAAAACATAGAATTATTAGACTATTCGCCGTACAACCCCGACCTAAGCCCTAATGATTTCTATACTTTTCCTAAAATAAAGAATAAATTGCGTGGACAGAGATTTTCATCACCTGAAGTAGCTGTGGACGCCTACAAAACGGCCATTTTGGAGACCCCAACTTCCGAATGGAATGGTTGCTTCAATAATTGGTTCCATCGTATGGAAAAATGTGTCAAATTTCGCGGAGAATACTTCGAAAAGCAATAAATACATTTTTAAATAGTAATGTTGTGTCACTTCCTTGATTCCCGAAATTTTCAATGCCGCCCTCGTACATCTACTTACCAAGTTTCAACAGCATAGTTCTTATAGTTTCGGAAAAAAGTGGCTGTGACATACGGACGGACAGACAGACAGAGATGACGAATCCTTAAGGGTTCCGTTTTTGCCATTTGGCTATGGAACCCTAAAAATGACTGTCTAATCAATGCTTATGGATACTTTTGCTTCTGCCATGGCACATTGTTGGTTTTGACCACAATTTCATGAACAAAAAAATGTATGCAGGAGGGGATAGGTTTCTTTTCGTGGCACAAGCAAATTATTAATTAGAAATTAATTTGGCAACATCATTAACAACTTCCAGTTGGTTATATAACAATCGTTTGTTTTTATTTATTTTTTATTTTAGTGCACCCCACTCATTGTTCTTTTTCTTATTTTTATTTATTTCTTCTTCTGGGTTGTCTGGAAGAGATTGCTATGTAGCAATAAGACCGCCCTTTGTAATTCCCTCAATAGTTGTTTATTTTTTATTTTTGATATTTTTATCTTTTCTTGGTGTACAAGAAAGAGTATTGTATTGTATTGTATCGTCCATAGATATTTCTTTCACTTTTACTAATTTTTATTGTATGTTGATGTAATGTGAACATTACGAAATAATATTTTTTGGTTTTTAGTGAATATCCCATGTGTTACACAAAAACTCACCAAAATCAATGTCAAAATATTTCATAGTGATTTTGTCTATTCTTATAGATCTCTCTCATGTCACGGTAGAGCCACGCTGCAGCTATATTATGGTTATAGACGAATGGGTCGACTTGACCGGGTTAGGGCCATGGTCTCACAGACTTTTACTGGAAACGAGGCATTCTATCTTAGTCCTCAGAAGTGACAACGTATCTGCATTTTAATTCTTAATCGAGGATAAATGTAGATGTCTATGGGTCACAGCATCAACTTACCATCAGGTGGACTGTGTTAAAATTATAGGACATTTTTATTCAAATTCATTGATCCAATCTCAACCTTTTAGTTATAGTTAACCTTATAGTTGTCTAGAATGTACAATTGGAAATACAAATAAAACTGGATTTCCTACAGTTAATAGTTAATCTAAACTCTAAATTGACATTTTCAGGCCCTAACAAGCACCAGTCAGCAGTAACTTGCCTTCAATCAAGCAATCGTTTCGTGATCACCTCATCGGACGATGGCACAGTCAAGCTTTGGGATGTTCGCACTGGGGAGTTCATTCGCAACCTCGTGGAGCTGAGTTCCGGGGGGTCCGGTGGAGTGGTATGGCGTATAAGAGCCTCCGCAACTAAGCTAATCTGTGCTGTTGGCTCGAGGAATGGCACCGAGGAGACAAAGCTCCTAGTCCTGGACTTTGACGTGCCCGGAGCTTGCAGGAAGTGCGACGAATAGCATCGACTCAACCGGCGCCTTCTGCGCCGATACGCAAACATGTACGCACCGTGGCATTGCTAAGTATGTCTCGTACAATGAACATCAAACCATTGTGCTCGTCCCGATCTCTCACGGACTGCATCGTGTTATTTTTAAGAAAATTGTGATCAGTGCATCCTAAAGTCTTTTGAAACTATAGTGATTCTAAAATTAGAGGCAGCTCGTTTGAAGTGATCGGTTTCCAATGTGGTTGATAATGTTAGATACAATTTTTTTGTGGGTACGTGTTGAATTGTGTTTGTGCAATGTTCATTCTGAGCTGAGATATTGTGTGGGGAGTGAGGGGACAGTGGTACTTCAATCAGTGAATTGTGATTTTTTTATACAAAGTACCCACCGGGCTTGACGCTAGTATTGAAGGACCACATTCATATATCCACAACGTTATCTGATTACCTATTTATACATTCAATGCCAATATGATACCATTACATATTTACAATTTTAGTCCTTTATAAATTTATAGTATAATTCAATTACGTTCATAAAAAAGTGGTGGCACATACGTTCATCTCACTTTGCCAAATTTCTGTAACATTGTTGCATGGTTCATTAACCCAAAGAGTTATGAGGATATCGGACTTTAGTTCTTAAGTTTTATTGTTAAGTTGCTTTTAGTAACAACTTGTGTTGTTAACTATAGGTTTTGTTTAAAATTATCTTTAAACGTTAACTCATTCAATACTACATTTTAGCATGTTGTAAGCGAATTAAATATTTGTTTTTATTTTGTATTTATTAAATGCAATTCTTAAATTGTGCTGTAACATGCACACGTTAACAATAATCTTTGTTGGTGTATATGTCAGTTGCAATAGTAAGGCATAATAGTTCATAACAATATATATTTTAAATTAATAGTTGCTAATATCTACATATTTGTTTGTTGGTGTATGTCAGTTGCAATAGTAGTATGGCATAATAAATAGTTCATAACAATATGTTTTATATTAATAGTTGCTAATATCTTTTACATTGTTTGTACGAAAGGTTTATATAAAAACTTGTTCTGTCTTATTACAAAAAAGTTTTTACTAGAGTCTGTATCAATAAAAAAATCCCCGAGAAAATGCGAACTAAAAAGTGAAGTTCGAAATTTAGCAACAAATGTCAAGTTTAGCGAAGGCTGTGACGTCGCGGCTAAAGGACTTCTTCGTGTCAAAGACTTCTTTAAACTAGGGTTGCCAACCGTCCTGTTTTCCAGGACATGTCCTAGTTTTTGTTGTGTCCTGGTATGTCCTGGATAGTTTTTAAGCAGCGTACTGGGTTTTTAAAGCGGCCTGATAAGATCATGTATTTTTAAGATCACTGCATTGAAATTAACGACGAAACATTATTTGATGAGATAGACAACGAACCGATAGCATGGCAAAGCGAAAACGAAAACGAACCTATACTTACATATATACATACATTCGCAATGGTTTCGGTTCGGTTCGCAGTTATGTTTGACAAGGCCTTTACTGCGTCCTGTTTTCAAACTGAATTGTCCTGGTTTTTCAAACTTCAAATCCTAGTTTTTTAAATTTGGGGTTGGTAACCCTACTTTAAACCCGAGTCTATCAAGAAAATACGTTTTGTAATAAGACCGTTTATGTGCAGTATTAAAGTATGTTAATTTTTTTATATATTTTGTTGAAATTATCCAATTTAACTTTTCATACCCACTGTAATTTACTAGTGTGCCAGTAATTTCATTTAATGTTTTAATTAGCGAATCTTGTTTGATTTTATAATTGTAATTATTATTTACTTCAACTCCTTGACCCCTTTCTTATTTTGTTAGTTTGCTTGAGCTATGAACAGATCTTTCATGTGTGATCTTAAAGCCAAATTAATTGGCCACATATAAACACTTTCTTATATAGGTATACAGGGTTATTTTGCAATATACGTCCAAATTGGCAGAGAAAGTTTAAAATATGTAATATAAGCGAATGGCGTAGAATATTTTATTAAAAAATCTGAAACATTCTGTCCTTTTTTATGTTTTAAATTCAGAATGCATGGTAATGCATTATTTTAACTGATTGTCATTTATAAATATCTAATTCCTATTTTACTATGCACGCACACATTCGTATGGGTCTATCGATCGGCAAGAACGTTGTGATTTGAATCTCACACAAAGGAGTGCCCGTACGCGTAGTTGTTGCACATAAATCAATTTCAATTTGGGATAATTAAAAAAAACTAAGAAGCCTAACTCGCATTATAAAACAGCAATAACGGTATATCATTATTTATATATTTGAACTTACGTATAATAATAATTGGCTACTCTTTGAAAAATAACTCTGTATATACTTGAAATAATTTACAAGTGAACCATTGTTTCGTTTGAGTTGTACATTATTTATTCATAGTTATAATCAATGTTTTAGTAATTAGTAGGTTTGGAGTTGAGACAAACCACAACTTTGGTTTTAATAGCATCTGCTGAAATCAATTTTGAAATATTATATTATTAGTTAAAGTAAATTAATAGCAGATTTAAATTAATTCTACTCCTCGTTTTGATATAATAATTAATGTCGTGCATTCATTACTGTGTAAGAGAGGCCAGCAATTTTAATCACTTAAATTCCATTTTAATAGTCACATAGTATAATCAACTTGTCTATTTAGACATTCAGAATAACAGTTTACAATATTATAATCTACCGAATTATGTAGTAAGCTATTGGAAGTTGATGTTAGTGCACATACGTGCGGAATCCAAACTTTGTACTCTACATAGATAGTAAGGGCCATTACGGCTTCCGCACACTTGTAGCTGTGGTAATGTGTATATACTAACTTATATAATATTATGATAATATGTGATCATTGAGGGGTGGTCGTACGTATATCGTCGTATGCCTGTCTTCTACGATGGCTGATTTAACAAATAATTAAACGAAGACTGAAGCATAGGTATAATGTAATATTTAATGTATTGATGTAGTTACTGGAATACTACCCACCATCACACTCCGCTTTGTCTTTGTTGGAACGGCTATATGTGAAAACTCTTTTTTTTGTTTGAGTGAATGAGTGATGTCGACATTCGATTATTTTCATGTTAGATTTTTAATCGTTTATTCTAAAGCAATATTCAAGGTTGGACCAAAATACTTCAGATTGGTTCATGTAGTGTGATGTATTTTTAATGTCGATCTCAAAATAATCGATTATCAACATCACTAGACGAAATAAGTTTTTTTAGTTGCTAAGCAGACGGAGCTTCCCGTCTTTCAATATTTCAACTTAGTTACGATGTAATTTAGTTATTAGTTAATAAGCGCGTCATATACACGCCAATCAAGTGACGTCTAGCAATGAAACTAGGTGGCTCTTAACTTGCTAATGTCCTATATCCTAGTTCCTTCATATATTATATTAAATATATTATAGTGGTTAGGGACTCTTCTGAATCGATTATTATTCGATTCAGACCCGATTTAAATGAATCGTGTTTTTTTTTCAATGGATATTATGTCTTCTTCATACTGGTATTTTCGGATAAGATTATTTGGGCCGCATGTTTCATTGCTAGAATCACATTATCGATACTGTATCGTGATATATCGATTATCTGAATCGTTCGGAATGTAGAGATTGTAAGTGATTTTTAATTTAGGAAAGATGTCTGACATTTGGCTGGTTAAATTAAATCGAATCCGTTTAATCATTCGAATGACTTTCATTTTATTGTCAAGCGTCATCTAGCGTTGCGCAAATGTATGTATGTATATATCCTGGCGACGCGGAGGCGTTTTCTTATTGTTATATACATTTTTCTTTGTCTCTTATCCATATCTAGCTTTTTTGTAATAACTATCATTTAATAAAGTCAAGTTGTTTTCAAATTCTATTTCGTTTTATTTTGTTACTATTTAATTGTTTTATCATGATGTATTTAACGTATTTAGTTTTAAGTGAACATTTTTTTTTTATAAATATTCCAATATTAAGAATAGCAGTACTGTCTTTAATTTGTAAATATTATTTTGATTAGAATAGTTTAATACGAAATTAATGTTATTGTTTTTTTTTTAACACATTCTTGTTGCGATTGCTGCTATTTCAAAATTATAGTGAATAGTATGTACATATAGAGTATACTACTTTTTGAGGCACGGGGTGAAACGCTTCCAATTTCTGATTCCGAGCAGTTACTTTGATCTTGATAGATAAACCCAATAACTGATAAAATCAGTTATTGGCTTTATACCCCGACCCAGGATTCGACCAACCAACAAGACAGCAGTGAGTGACCACTTACAAAGCAGTGAGTGACATTTACATTTGACAGCAGTGAGTGACATTTACATTTGACAGCAGTGAGTGACCACTTACAAAGACAGTGATTAGATAAGCATATCATGTGTTATCGGGGCTAAGTACACTACTCAACAAAGTCTAGGTCTAGCCCGTCCGCAGAGACGACTATAGAAATAATTTCGTTCGGCAGGTCCAGAATCCAGATATTTTGTTTGCACAACTTTGTCGGAGTGGTGATGTCGACTAAAAATACCCCTGACTGTGCCCGGTTCACCAGCACAATATCAGGCTTATTCGTAAGAATAGTGCAGTCTGCGATCATGGCCCGGTCCCAGTAGTCTGGCGCGGTCATTTTCGAGCACGGCTTCCGGCAAAGGCAGTTTCCGATCCACGAGACCGTATTTCAGAGCAAGTGCCTGTGCAAGTACTTAGTGTTAGAAGCGCCGAACAACCAGAGATGACGTGCCCATATGTAACTCACCGGGATGGTGACAAGCTCGACAGATGTCAATGGCGACATCCTTTAGGATGTATCTCCGATAGTTGTTGGTCTTAATAACCTGATCCTCTATCGCACAGACAAAACCCTCGGTTTCCCCAATGAGGTCAAAGGAGTGGAGGGAGGCAACTGTCTTGTGGAACCTCCCGTGGATCTCCTCCTTTCATACGGTCTTCCGCAAATTGGATCCTCG